TTAGTACAGAACCTCACATTTCCTTCAGAGTATCACGACTGACCAGAACTGTGAGTGGCTTCACTCTCATACACCACCTTACTCCTGTGCCTCTGCATCAGTGACTCAGCCAAAGAAAACAAAACCCTGCCAGAGGCTTTCCACCCTTTCCCATACATACAGTGCAGCTACATACAGCACAACTACATGCCACACAGTTAATAGATGCTCTTAAGAGGCAATACATAACATTTATGAAATACTTAAAGAATCAATCTTTTTTTTGGCCACTTGGGAGCAGAACTCCACAACAAGCTGAGCATCACAAACACATTTGACAACATTGCTTCAAAACGCTGTTATGGCTAACATGTTGGCAAACATATTTGCAAATCTACACATCTAGCAGAAATGGAGCAACATTAGCATTTATCTGGAGTCGGACATCTGGCAACCTGACAAACATACTGTAAGCCAAATATTCGCTCTCCCTATAGCTCTGTTTTGGTCTTCTTTACCAAGACAGTGGGTTTGTCATGGCTGTTTTTACACAACTGCCTGCTGTGGCTGGAAATGACACCGATGAGAGCAGTGAGACTGAATCAAACAGTAAATCTGCAGCCTGGAAAACCAAAACAATGAGCTGAAAGATGCTAAAACAAATAGTAGAGCTGAGGGTAATTGCAGAGTCAAGTAATGACTGTCTGCGTGTTAGTCAATATGAGTGACAACTCCCTTGTTACACACTGTCATTTGACCTGATGTTCATATAAAAATATTAAAATAATTAGTCTAGTAACTTTCCGAATGCCAAAATGACTGAATGGTGTTTCTTTATCTAGGTAAACATCTTTGCTAAAATAAAAATGGCACAGACAGGAATAGAGCACATCTACCAGTCAGACAACAGACAAATGTTAAATTACGTGACTTGGCCAACTCCTGGAATAGCATTAATTAGCTTCGGCTGAAAAGTCCACTGGCAACACTTGTCATTTCAGTCGGAGCCATCAAGTTCACCAGCTAAAATTAAGAAGTCTGAGACAGCCACTGTATTTTTTTAGTGGCAAAGGGCAATTTCATTCTTCACATCTGAAATCCATCTGTGCTTTAAACAAGCCTTGTCAACATAAGTAGGGTAAAACACTGCTGTCTATGTACATGGCTGGCACACAATACACAGTAGGTCTCTGTGTTTACTGTGTTTGTCTCCCTATATGGTCGCTCCAATATCAGCCCCCTCACCCTGAGCTATAGGAGGCAGTGTGCCATACAATAAGTCCCAACACTATAACATTCACTTATTACACAGTTCCCATGTTCAGCAGATATTACAGCCAATTGTCATTGTCAGAAATGTTTGTCGCCACAAAGAGGCCTCCAATTGGTTTATTACTTATTATTACTGATAGCACCAGCTTTGCAGGTGGCATGTCTCACAGGCACCTCCTAACTGTCAATGAATGACAGGCTAAGTAAAAAGGGGGCTATAAAAATTGAAGCTGTAAAGTTTGTGACTCCACCTGTTTGCAGAGAGGACTGGTGGAAATGTCAGTAAAAGCTGATTCCAATGGATTTCTGAGCCCAGAGAATGGATTAAAAGGGTGTGTGCAAGTGTCCTGCACCCAAGACTAACACAAAGATGGGGTTAACAGGAGGCTGATGACCTTGATAAGAAAGTACTGTGAAGATAGTGGCAGAATGTAAGACAGAAAGAGAGAGAGAGCACTAGACCAAGGTAGGAAAAGTGTTCAAATAAAAACAGTGCAACACAGTGATGTGGAAAAACATTTCAGGGAAAAAGAGGATTAGATGGTCATTTTCTCAGTGGACAATTATGTCACCATGCTAGGGGAGTGCACTGACGGTGATGATGGTGTCCCTTTACTCTTTTACTGAGCCTGATGGGTGCTAGTTTCTCCAGTAAACCTTGACAGAAAGCAGACATTAAATGCTGCTGTTTCTTTAAGACACTGGGATCTCCCCCTGGGAGTAAAGCCTGCAGTGTACTTACAGCAGTGGCTATATGGTCCTGCCTCCATCACACAGGCGTTTGTCAGTGTGAGAAAGCATCCAGCTGAAGCAAAGACTGAACCACTGTGTGTCGACAAGGCCTGCTAACAAAGACGACCTTTCAGCACTCAGCAGTTTCCCCCTTCTCTCTTGCTTTTTGCAGCAACATTCACAGCAGTTTCAGATCCACTGACAGAGGATCTTGTGCACTGGCCTGCCATACATCTCTATCTCTGCCATCACGTGGCGGAGCAGGGTGACACTGGCATTCACCTTTGTCCCAGGTGCAGGCAGGCACCACCCACATGTTCCACTCTGCAAGTTGGTACACTCAGCATATAAAGGCACCAGCTCAACACTGAGTAATCACTATGTGCCGTCCTGCAGAGGCTGGCATCTACACTTCATTACGTTGCAACAAAAGGAGAGAGATTAAACGAGTTTAAATCAGCAAGATAACAAATCACACTTTGCTATCTAAACAAAGTTTCCTTATTGGCTTCCTGGTAGATCAACAACACCATCATCATTGAACCGGTCACAAAGTAATAATTGACATGCTTTAATCCTTAGAGGTTCACTAAGACCAACAGTTGATCATTTAGAAAATCTATTTGATTTTATTGGCATGGGTAATCTTGAAAGGAGTGTAGTGTACATTAAAGTCTGTATTGGAGCTGGAATGATTAATTGTCGGTCAACAGAAAATACATAGCCAACTATTATGATAATCTATTAATGTTTAAGTTATGTATCAAACAAAAAGGTCACACAATTTTCAGTTCCAGTTTCTAAAATGTAAGCAGTTGCTGTTTTTCTCCTTTTATACACTTAAAACTTAAATATGTTTGGGTTTTGGACTGTTTTTGGACATTTCTCACTATTCTGACATTCAAAGACTAAATGATTAGTTAATTAAAAGAAATAATTGACCGATTAGCTGCAGGCAGCCCTAATATACTACTACCTTTAACAGAAAATAAGATTTGTACAGTTAAGTATTTTCTCTTATACTCATCCAATAAAAATTAGATTTTATTAAACTGTGCAACATTCCTCCTAGTCGTATACACTGGCAACAATTACGTAAGATTTTATCTATAAGTGAGCAGTTACCACTGAAGTGACTGACAGACAATGGAGGAGACACTACTCATGTCAAGCATGTGTTAGCAGGTGCTCATAGATAACAGGGCTGTTATTTGTGTTAGCCCATAAGGAAGAGCTCAGTAACAACCTCTGACAAGACACAAGCCCTGACTGGACGGGCAGTGACATTCACTGGGTTACCCCAGGGAGCTGTGAGATCAGGGACAGACAGAAACATGTGGACAGACAACTGTGCTAGAGTCTGGGTTAACCCGAGAACCGACGAGGGAGAAGCCCTCTCCATGTCAAGCATAATAACGCCAGAGCACAGGCTGAAAACTACTTTAACAATAAGATCCAATTTTGTCTAGTTCATGTTGGAAATATAAGCCTAAAATAGATAGCTATTGTGAACATAAAAGGAAGCAATTAGAGTCGTTGTAGCGCTGAAAATACAATTAACACCAAGACAACATGAATCACCATCTGAAGTAAGTTCTCAAGAGAAAATCCTAAATGAACCCGTGTCCTCACAATCAGGCTCTACTATTAGGTGGGCCTTGTTGTGCATGTTGACACCATTAGCACACTTCCTCTCACTATTATATATTCAGATAAACGCTGGGTCCAGTGGGCCACAAGATCCATGGAGCAGTGTTATGGCTCTAATGCCAGATCCAGATATAGCTGGACACCATGGGGATAAAAATACCCAAACAGATGGGAGGGTTCACAGGCAAGGGGGGAGAGGCAGCCAGCACAACTAGAGATTTCAGAGCAGAGGAGAACTGCAATTACAGCTGTTTGCTAACCTCTGCCTTCTATGTGGTTAGCAAAGCCTTCAGTGGATGCCCGTTCAGAGATAATGACCTCGCTGGGAGATACGATGTGGTGGAGATGACGCCAAGCCCACCCATCAGCTCCAGTATGACTGCTTAACTGGAGTTTGAGTTAGGTCTTGTTTACATTAAGCCATTGTCAGAGAGAAATAAAATATGTCTGCCAGTGATCAAAGCACTGCAAGTGGTAACACATTTATAGCACACAAAAAAAAAAAGATGTGAAAAGCAATGTGCAGAGGAAATGGTTGAGCAGTCACTGGCTGGCCTAGAATCTAACAATCAGAAAACAAACAGGCCTTGACATTTCATGTGGTTTCTCACAGCCTGTCTAAATGCTACTAAACCAGTGGCTTTGAAAAAAAGGGTTCATGCTGACACAAAACAAAAAGACACAGTAAATTACTGATTGCTCATAGGGCCTGGTGTGAGCTTATTAGAGGGAAAGCTTCCACAGGGATTGACATTAACTCCAATGACTGAGGAAAATGTGGGATATAGGAAGTCTGAAATTTTAGCTTTTATAAAGAATTCTGTTTACATAATACAAACATTAAATACATGAATGTCACTGCAGAGGACAGCAAGTTAGCCCTACCATACTTGTTAAGAACCACCTTAAAGAACTAAATATGTTATCGTTGAAAAATACAAAGTGTGGACCTTAAGTGTGTCCTCTTTCTGAAATGCTGTATAAGTAAAAGAGATGCCTGTTCTGTGAAGAAAAACATCAGTCAAGACTTCTTTGCCTCTTTGATAGAGACAAGCAGAGAATGGTTGACTCATTAACAGTACATGGGGCCAAGCTGTGGGAGGAGGTGGGGGACATTTTTATTTACTTCCTGTGTCTGACTCTATTGGGTTAAAGAGTCAACTGCACTAGGAGAGTCTGTCGAACATTTAAATAAACGTCTAACAAAAATTTAACTGTAAAGATAAAGCATTGTAAACAACAGGTAAGTAGGATTCTTCAGGATGTGGATTGATATTGTAGATGTACCAGAGCAGTGGTGTGGTGCATATGTGGAATGGACTTCATATATTTCTTTGTTACTTCACCAAACCCAAGGATGCACTTACCAATTTGATGGCGACATATTCATTAGTATAGAGATTTTTTCCCAACCGCAGCTCTCCAAAGTTCCCACAGCCAATTTTTTTACCCACACGGAAGTTTGGGCCAACCATAAGAACTCCAGAATTGGTCCCTGAACTCCGGCCCCCATGTCCAGTCCTGCTGCCTGCTGTCTTAGACATCTTTTTCCCTTCCTCTGTCTCTCCCTTGCCCCCTCTCTTATCAAAATCCATAAGCTTGTGATACCCTGGCCTCTCCACGGTTATTCTCCAGCCATGCAAACCATAGAAATTCCAATAACAACGACAGAGGATGCTTTTGGGAGGGGGTGGGAGACAAAATTTTGTAGGACAGAGGAAAGGTGTTGCTGTTAAAATGTGCAGTGGCTCAGCAGACACTTTAAACGAGCTGCAGTGCCCCGTGTGTCTATCAGACAGCTCTTCTGCTGAGTGCTTCCCTTTTTTTCTTCGTGTTCCGTGTTTACCAGAGGGGCCGTCTTTCTTGTGTGTTTCTCCAGCTCCAGCCTCAGAGTAGCATGTCCCTGCCTGAAGAATAGGCAGGTTGTGCTAGGATATGCCCACAGACGCACATACAATACTAGTCATAAAAAAGCACTCGGAAACCCAGCTACTGCATCCACAAGGCCACTTGGGAACATCTTTTGGAGTGCCTCATTTCTTCTGGTCAGCCTTCAGTGACACAGTGGACATTCTCCATGTTGCAGGGCCACAGCAGACGACGGAGGGAGCACAGCGACGAGAAAGACGAGTAACTGATGGGTTTGATGTCAGCTGTATGTCTGAAAAAGCAAATGACAGACAGAAATCAGTTTGTTTTCTGTATAGCCTAAAACAACAAGACTGTTCATCTGTCACAAATAATAAACTCAGTCGTTATTTAGTCTTATAATATCTTCTTTAGTGTTTTAAGATTTTAAGAAATGACGAAAAGAGAAAGCAGTTCTCTGGGTTTACTAACTGTCAGTAGCCATCTCGTTCTACACTTACAATAAGCATAATCTGTGAAGCAATCACGATAAACTATAACACTGGAAAACTTAATCAATCATTATCTCTACTCATAACACTTTGTGGCCATGAAGAGATTAACATTTTTAGAATAAAACTTTAACCTTTAACTTGAAGATCAAATTATGTCTACTGTGGTTGTTCCTTACTACAGCTGAAATGAGATCTTGCTCCAGACCGGCGCAAAGCAAATTCAATAAAGCAATCAATACAGGCGGAAATATTCCACAGTGGACCTCAAGCATGAGAAAAAAGATCCCTTTTACGATTAAACCTATTTTGTGAAAGCCAAAAACACTGTCTTACAGGGATTCTGGAGATCACAAAGTTTTATTTCTATAGACAAGACTAATGTATCTAACATTGTTGAAATTCTGTTGAGGTACGTTACGGGCTCAATTCTCACAGCTTTTGCAGATGTGTAGCTCCTCAGATAAATACAAATGATATGCTAACTTCTGGTAATGTGTTTATCCAAGAGGTCAGGAGGATTAAATACAAAGTAAAACAAAAAAAATGACAAGATATGAGACTAAGCCGAACGCTATAACAGAAGGAATGCCAGGCACAAATGACGTCAATCACAACCATAAATTCAGTTTTCTTTGGATGTGTAACTTGACCATCTCTGTACAGCTTTTTGCTAACAATCACATGCAGACTTCTCTGTCCAGAGAGGCTCTCCTAACTCCCCTATGTCTACGATCTAAGACACTGGTGGTGCTGAAGAGAGCTGCAGGTAATGCAGGCACTAGCGATGGGCAGCTACTCTTTCCTATGGAAAGGCACTTACACAGATCAATGACTGCTGTAATGCCTCATCTCATCATAACATTTGCATCATTGGGAAGAATATTATTGGAAGGATTTGGATAGGGTCTGGTCTACAGCTATCTCAGCTGTATCTGTCAGACTAAGAACTAATATAGCCATCAAATGACTGAAATACAGTAATATCAGACATAAATATGCTGATAAGTAAGCACTGTTTTATGTAATTTTTTTCATTAATGAAATCATTTGCACATGACACTTTTGTGATTTGAATCTGTACTACAGAAAGTTTACTCCACAAACAGCTGAGGAAATGGCATTTTTTGAACAGGCAAGGCTATATTAAAATCACACTGGCTATTTAAGTCTGAGACATTTTGAGTTGGGTGTGTGAATTAACAAACAATGACACAACCCATAAAAATCCACCTAAATCCTAAGTATGTCTGTATTCTTTCACTACTGCAGTCAGCATACCAGAAAACAAGAACAAATTTATGAATCAGGTAAAGTTATGCAGCCAATTATTAAACTGTTGTATCTTCCTTGTAGCATGACGCAAGGTGATACTTGCTGTGAGAAATGAACAGAGACTAGACTACCTAGTCACAAGATGTGACAATGCAATAAACAAGGTGGCTAAAAGCAAAGTCAAATGATCAACAACTACTAAAATGGCAAAGTGCACTAGGACAAGCACTTCATTTGTCAAGGTGACCCAAAGAACTACACTGGCCCGAGCTTTTAAGACAAATATGATAATGTTTTCATACGAGAAAGGATAGATGTCCTTGAAAAACCACAAAAACTCTAAATAACTTTCAGTCTCAGGTAGCTTTTTGGCCATCATGGCCCACATGTCTAGACTGTCTCATTTCAGGAAGTTGTGTTTTGTTTTTCATGTCAGCTGTTGGATATAGCTACCAAGTTGTTTAAAACATACTTGACTGAGTGGTCATATATTCTGTATTTTAAGGTGACAATTTAAAATACAGAGACTTAAAACCTGTGAGTAATACGTTGCCAAAACAAAACCGTAGGTTGTAACGTCAGTTTGCTGCAATTAACGCTGTAGTCGATACTGTTGGCTGGTAATAACACGACACAAGACGGTTTTAAACGTTAAAAATATGAATCCAAATTCCCACAAAGAGCCTCAAATCGATAATAAACAGTTGTACCCATACCAGACTGACAAATCTTCCTTACGCTTGGCACAAAATACCAAAATATTAATGTTAGCTAAGAGCTAACTGGCTATCGAGTAGTGGTTGGCAGCTGTCATTTAGCGGTTAGTTTCGGGTGATTCAAAGTAACGTTACCTGCTTTCTCCCTTTGATAGCACGAAGTTTGTTTCACGGTACGAGGTGAGAAAGGGATAATGCAATCTTACAGGCAAACCCCGTCGATAACTGCCTCTAGAAAACCCAGGGTCAACGTTAACATTAGACTAGCTGGTTCGGCAGACAAGGCCAGATACTCTCAGGCTATCTTAGCTTTAGTTAGCAAGCTCAAGCTAGCTTGATATGTTTCAATCGGGGCCAGTTTGTTTCTGTTTTCCGTTTACTTGTGGTATATCTATGATAACAGTATTATGGGTAGATTAACATCAGGGTAGACGATTATCTTCACGTTGCAGCCACATCCAAATGTCACACAGCAGCTAGCCTAGCTTGCACCTCACAGAAACACCGTTTCTCTTGGCCCAACGCCTGATAAAAAAAACAGCTAACGATGTAACGTCAGCTAATCTGTTAACAACACTACCATAAGAACACAAGATAGCTAACCGTTAGCGAAGTGGCGCAAATTGAACAGGTCGAAGCAGGACAGAACATAAAATATTCATTGATTGTCATTCCCTGTGCTACGTTAACCTGGTTAGTTAGTAACAGCTTAATAACTGAGAAATAACAACGTCCCAAGCGACGTTGTAACTAGTTAATTCACCGACCGGAGTAAGAATATGATAAAACGGATCGTTGTTTCACCTGGGAGTATCGTTTTAAGAGTCCAGATTCCAGCTATAGCCATTACCCTGACCACTGCCGGGCAACTCCTTAATCCTGAACAACCGACTGCACACCAACGGCAGCCTGGATCTCTTACCGCTTAGCTCACTAGCTAGCCATTTAGCAAGCTAGCACACGAAACATTAGCAAGAGCATAAATGTACGGCGGGACGGCGTCTTCAACACACAACAGTTACGAATACATTTCTGTTGCCAAAGGAAAGCGTGTTACCTTTAAATTTCAGCTATCGAAACGTAGTCGAAGTCATGGTTCTTCGCTTGAGGGTATCTTTCTCATTTCGTTTCTCTTGCCCTCAAGTTGCTATGATTTTGCTGTTGTCTCTTTAAGCCTCCCTCAGCTGCCGATACCCAGGCACCGCGTCATGCTGGCTCACAGCAATGTGATACGCTGAAAAACTGACGTAACTGCTTTGGGGAATAAAGCAAAACATCAGGCGTGCGTAGCTCACTGAGTAGTGGCCAAATGGCAAATAGACAAGATGGTGTGAAGACATTCAAACATCTTTAACCTGGTAAACATGAACAAAACAATTACATTCTATAGTTTTCTGTTTTCTAATTTAACATAAATTAAGGGATTATTATTGTCTTAAATACAAATATATTTGTTTTTGTTTTGCCAGGTGTATCCAAAGTGTGGCCACATGCTATATTTTGAGTAAACAGAGATGGGAGAAGTACTCAGATCTCAATACCACAACAAAGAAATACTCTGATATAAGTGAAAGTCATCCATTCAAAATTTACTTCAGTAAAAGTGCAAATGTATTGACATAAAAAAAAACACTTAAAGTACCCAAAGTAAAAGTACTCAGTATGCAGAGGAATGTTTATTATATTATTGAATTGTAGCCTAATTATTGATACACTAGTGTGTGAGCATCACTTTAATGCTGAAGTTGGTACAGATGGAGCTAATTTGGAGCTGCTTTATACACTGCTGAATCTGCAAAGCAACTAAAGATATCAAGTAAATGTAGTGGAGTTAAAAAAAAAAAAATACAAAAATGGCCCCTGAATTGTAGTGTGAAATAAAAGAATCAAGAAGCACAAAATGGAAATGTAGGTGACTTAGTTACCCTCACTGTGAGTCATACTTTCTGACACATGCACTAATTTCACCCATGTCAAAGCAAAAATGTCAATGAAACCAAGTTTAAAGCTGAAATAATTTGATTATTAACTGGTTGGTTGGTTGATTGACAGAAGTTTTATAAGTTTGAGTCATGTTTTTAGGTAGATAGATACTTTATTAATCCCAAGGGAAATTTAGGCATCCAGAATACAGACACACAAAGGGACAGAGAATATGAACATCAGAATAAAGGCATAGAAATAAAACATTTTTTAAAAAAATCTGTATATTTAATTTGTTCCAGCTTGTCAGATGTGAATTTTGCTGTTTTTTTAGTCTTTTATGATAGTAAATTATATGAACGTAAATATCTTTGGGTTTTGAGCTTTTGTAAGACAGAACAAGTGACATAAATATGTTGACTTGGGCTCTGGTGAACTTTGATGGGTGATGATCCACTATTTTTGACAGTTTAGTCTCAATAAATCAGTAAAACAAGTGACAGCTTAAGTGGCAATGAACATCATTATTAGCTGTAGCCATGACCTCATTCACATCCGAGGGATTAATGCTGCAGAGGCATTTTGTTTATATGGCAGGTCTCTGATTCAGGAGCTTAAAAATATGCCTATTTAAAAAAGAATAAAATTCATTTACCTTCACAGACCTTTTTTTCCTTCATATATTTGGTCTCTGGCAAACAAAAGCTTGTTCCTGTCTCATTGCTGCACACAAGATTTAAAAGCTTTCTGTGAGAAGTCTGGTTCCTTTTTATGCTGGCTGTTTGCTTTCTTATATTTTAAGAACACCAAAATTCATGTAAAATTTGACAATTTATATAACTTATATATACTTACTAGCAGTGCTTCAGGGTTAAAGCATTTTTTTATATCTTAAAGACCTTTACAGGTATCAGGTTTGGGTTTGGCAACATGGTTGAAATCAACGTCAAAGTATTTTTACACTAATATTTATAGATATCATGGTATATGCAAAATCACATAAAGAAAAATCAAACAGACTAAAATGATGGCATGTTGTGATCCATTCATCAAAACATTTATTTCCACCATGGATGGATTACTGAATGGGCCTACCAGTCACAGGCCCATGTGGGGCCCAAAGTGTCAGGGGCCCTCCTTGCCCTCACCACGCTTGAGGAGACTCTTACTGACCAGGAAGAAACTCAAAATGATCACAAAAAGATGCAAAGGAACTGCAAATAGACACAAAATAACCACAAAAAAGGGCAAAGAAGCCACAAAGAGACACAAAATGAACAAAAAAAGACACAAAATTATCTCAAAGAGACATAAAGCGACTACGGGGACACAAAACCACATATAGATGCATAACAACTACAAAAAAGATGCAAAACAACATAAATGAGAGGAAAAACCATCACAAAGTCTGTCATTGTTGCTCTGATGTATATCTGTGTAGGTGCCTGTTGTCTTCTCATAATCCACAAATCAATTCTTCTGTTGATAGATGATAAAATTGAATCATCACCCAGCCTGATATCAAAGAGTTTGCATATTTATCTTGAAGAGACCTCTGAAAGGCTAAAAATAATATATAAAATTCTTCTCCTGAGTGAAACCCCTCCAACTGGCAATACTACTAAACCTCTTTATAACCAAAAGGACAAAAACTAAACAGAGACTTCAGGTACAAATAACTTTATTTCACATTTCTTTGTGGCAGTAGTTACAATAAGGAAATTCCCTTAACTCCTTTTCCCATCATTATTACTGTGTAGCTACTTCTCAGTGAAGCTAGCTTAATAATGCTGAAGGACACAACAAAATCTTTAAATGTGGTGTTTTATGCTGCTTGTGATGGATGAAACAACAGCCTCCATCAGGCAAACTCATACCACTGGCAAACTAAAACCAACCTGTAGGTGTTAATTGAAGCAGACCCAAATTAGACTTGGATGCATGTGACTTTACAGCTTTACATCTCTGCAGACAAGTAGGTATTCAATAAAGCTCTCTAAATAAAGATTATATTTTGTCCTTAGTCAGGTTTACAAGAACAAGTCCTTCTCTTCCTTATCTTTTCCCACACAGGGCTGCTTGAGGTGTATCTGTGTCCACAAGGAGCAGAGATCTGGGGCCAAGGTGTACTGGTCTACAGTTACAGCCCCAGGTGAGGGCGAGGCACAGCTTTACTGGAACATGCAGTCTGAAGGGAGAGGCTACAGTTTTTAGTAACTGATGATGGATGAACCCCCAGGGCGGAGCTATGCTGCTGTATGATGGGCCAGAACAAAGGGGGAAGGGCCAGGTCAGTGGACAGCACTCCTACAAGCGGCTGGTGAGGCGGGTGGCTATAGCGCTCCCCTGTCATGAAGGGGAAAAGCGGAGGAGAGTGAAGGCGGAGGGGGCACCGTGTTACATCAGAGTCTGAAGGAGCTAGAGGTGTGCAAATATCCCTGGTTTTATCCACATGAGGAGGAAGAGAAGGAGGAGGAGGAGGAGGGGGAGGACAGCAGTGAGGAGGAGGGAGGTTTCTGTCAGTGTGTGATGTAGTGATGTCCTGTTTGTCTTCTGTCCTGACTTCCTCCTGTCCCACTGTGCTGTGATGTGGTGCCTCCTCCAGACTCTGGTCTCTGGAGAGCGGGGAGCACCTCTGACCTTTGCGAAACTTTGCCCTCCTGTTCTTGAACCACACCTGGGCAAGTGGGAGTAAAAGAGCAAAGATGAATTGATTTATATGGCACAATTCATACTCAGGGCAGTTACAAGCATAGAATTCCAGTTATCTTTTTGAGATATGAAGGGTTGTCAAAGATAATAGAAATAAAAGTATTTATTATGGAACATTGCCTATTATGACCCGTACTGTGTATTATATTACTGGATAGAATTATTGCCACATTACATTTATGCTTACATAATTTTAATGTTGTAGCTTGTAAATGTATAGCTAATTTTAAGTGCTTTATAAACTGATTGGTAATTTAATCTACAATAATACATCATGATTTACTAGTTGATTATATTTTGTTTTTAATAATCTGAATCTGCAAAGTAAAGCTTTTAAATCAATGTAGTGGAGCAAAAAGAACAATATTTCCCTCTTAAATAAGTTAAAGCAAAGTATAAGTACCTCAAAATCATACTTAAGTACAGTACTTGAGTAAAAGTTAGTTACCTAGTTACTTTCCACGACTACAAGTATGTGTAGATTTGCTGTGCTGTATCATTCCTTAAAATAAGAAGTATTTGTGTTCATTCATATGACGCACTTTCCTGGTCATATTAAAGTTAAATGTCTGAGAATCTATATCAAAATCAAAAGTGTTTTTATTCATGCTTCCCGGCTAAATATTTACATAATTTAACAACTACAAATATTATTGGCTTCAGCAGGTTTACAGTCACGTGTGCTCTCACCTGAATGCGAGCCTCGGGCAGGTTGATGCAGACAGCCAGCCTCTCTCTCATGCCGACATCTGGGTACTGAGTCTGCTGGAAGGCTTTCTCCAGAGCCTGCAGCTGCGACACTGTGAACGCTGTGCGGCTGCGGCGCTGCTTCTGCTGGTTGCCATACCGAGCCTCCAGGATGAGCTCTGGGCAGGACAGAGAGAAACAAACAGTCAGCACCAAAATACTTTAATACATTGAGTCAGCAGCAAGTTCTCTACAACTCACTGTAACAGGGAGCATGACAGGGAAGTTATTTGCTATTTAGGCTACTTCCATATTTCTATGTTGTTTTTCTGTGTTATCAGGCATGCAGTAGAGGTTTCACCTGCAGACTTTTACTTGAAAAAGCAGAAATCTGTAAAGTATGGTATGATAGGAGGCTTTGCAGTAGTTGTATCAGGTGGATGCCAGATATAACAACAGTGGTGGAAGAAGTATAAAGATTATTTTAGTCAAAGTAGTAATACCAAACATGAAAAATACTCCAATATAAGTACTACAGTATAAGTATTATCAATAAATAAGGCAACAAAGTGCATAAATCTGGAAGTAACATTGCAGTGTTGGAGCTGGTTGAAATGGAGCTTGGTTTAACTAATTCATATATTGCTTGGCACTAAAATCCCTTTAAAACAATGTATTTCTGTTTATAAAATCTTTATTTGCAAAGCAACCAGTCGAAGACGTATGCAGAACTTTCACTTAGGTGAAAGTAGCAATGCCACAGTGTGGAAATACTCTGCTACAAATAAAAGTCCTGCATTCAAATATTTTCCTAATAAAAAGTACAAAAGCATCGGCATCAAAATATACTCAAAGTACCAAAAGTAAAAGTATTTATTATGCAGAATGGCCCATTTCAGAATAACGTTTCCATTATATTATTGTTTTAAAAGTGTTAGTGCATTCATGAGTTCATCACTTTAATGTTGTAGCTGGAAAAGGTGGGTCCACTTCCTTTACTTGATGGATACTGTTGCTTGTATTTCACCTCTGAGGAGCTACAAACTAGAAACTAGAGTTCTCAAATACATGTAGTGGAGCAGAAAGTAAAGCATTTGCCACTGAAATGTAGTAAAAACAGAAATAATTATGTAAATTATCTAAAAAAAGAAATGGTACTTAAGTATAGTATTTGAGTAAATGTGTTAGTTACTTTCCACCACAGTCACTGAAATCAAATCAATGTTCATTTTTTTTTAATTTACATTGTTTGTAATCTACTGTTTATTCCTATTATGATCATCAGCTGGACATCATTAACCATTTCTCTATTTATAACATCACTGTGTATCAACTATTAACACATATTTAATCATTAAACAGCAACATAGTCCTGGAGAAGAGAAAATAATTCTAAACCTTAGACTAATCTGTGACACTAAAGTTCTTCAGTCACTCTGAGTGCAACAGGACGATGATGACCCACCTGCCAGTCTCTCAGCCACAGAGAGAGTGTGCACTGTGGGGCTGGCTGCAGAGTAAACATGGTACTGCTCCGCCATCTGGTGGTGCAGGTCGAACAGCATGGAGTTAACACCGTGGAGGGGGTACACACCACCACCACCAACTCCACCGCTGGACGTCCCGCAGAAATTCAAGGAGTTCATACTGAATCTAAGGAAACAGAAAGACTTATTTTACTGACTGAGGGGTGCATTTTATAAAATAATAGCATTAAGATTTGAAGAAGAAATGCAGCATGCTCCCACTGTTAAACCCTAGGCAAAGTTTCTAAAACTTCATAAATACACCTGTTAAAGGACATAATTATCACATCAAGGACAATGAATGAATAAAGATGTTATCATATGTTACTCTGATAAATTGCAGGAGTGAAAAATCTGTGAGAGAACATGAGTCATTATTAGAAGGACCAACAGTTTTTGTCACTGCTCTCCAATCTATCATTATTACCTTCTCCTATCCTTGTTATTTCTTTGGTGACTTTTCACATTGTGAATTCGGTTGGAAAATATTAAGAAGGAAAATAATGAGCGTTATCATTAGTCTATTATTAAATTTCTTACGAATTTGGCGACATCTTTCCTCTTAAACTAAGTTCTGCACCCAACTTTGCACCTATTTTGCGTAACATATCCATAAAAGCAGTATTTTAAACTCAAATTTTACAACTAAAAAGTCTGATTTCGTTGATTTCCATCATACACAAGAATTCTCCCTTACTATAGAGACGTTTTCCGTGATGAAAACATGTAAAAACCCCTCTCTCCGCACAGGTGTTGCAGTGTCCTTGGCTGTTTACCTGAGATCCAGAGCGTGAGATCCAGGTGCGCTTTTACGCACAGAAGTCTGACACTGCCGAGCTGTGTAGTCCAGTTTTTGCCTTATATCCTCGCACACCAGCACTCTTTGTCGTGGCACAGATCTAATTCTCCGAAACCATTCTCACCCACGACTATTTAAGAAGCATTTACCCAGGCTCCCCTCAGCCATTAGCCAATAGAAAGAAAGGTATTAGCCGGGATTAGGTGGGATGAGGGAAGAGAGGGGGGTTGCAAGGAGCTCAAGTTTTTGAAACTATTGAACTTGAGAGATTTATGCCAAGGATCCCCCTATAAGCGAACGTTTCATTCCCTCCCGTTAAAACAATTAAAACAATGTGGTCGGCTAATCTCCGAGGCAGGACAGATTAAAATAACAGCCTTTGATTGTGCTCTCCTTCTCAGTCCTCTTTCTCCCAGACCGCTGGCTTTGACAGTCTCCCCTCGGAGGGGGTTTTTCTCTAAGGGTTTGTTTTGCTAACAGGCACCATATTTTGCCCATAAACTGTCACCATGTGAAGTTAATCTGAACCCTCCTCAATGAGAACTATTTCCCTAAAAATCCAGCTGAGCTAAATTAGAAGTCTTCCCAGGAACAGAAAACAGGAAAAACATCGAATCATCACCACCGTGAAGTCCTCTAATTTTCATCACCATCACTTCTGGTACATTTTATAAACTATGCTCCACTGCTGGAAAATAACTGTGTGCATTTACTTGACTTAATTACAGTTTTTAGGTTGAGTATTTTCATTTTATGCCACTTTATTCTTTTAATTTAGAGCTTTTTACTACAGTTATTTGACTGAAGTTACTTTGCAGATTTTATTTTACCCATACAACATTCATCTACACAGTATACTGCAGCTCTGTGCAGCTATAAGGGCATTTTAACTGTTTAGCATTTCATAGTATTTGTCAACTCAATGTCTGTTTATTCACCATCACCGCCTCCATGTGCTTCACAATAGGTGTTGACACATACATTAATAAACTTAAACTTAGACTTATATCTGCTTATAAATACATTATAGTGTGTTATAACCCATTTATTAAATGTTTACATACTGTTTATGAATGCTAGAGTAGTTAAAGTGTGAACTTTTATTCATTTACTTGACCTAAACATAGTTCATAGGTTGAGCATTTCCACTTCGTGCTGCTTTGTACATCTACTCCACCACATTTTTAAGTATTTTTAACCACATTTATCTGACAGGTATTATCAGAGGTGTGGACCCAAATCACATGATTTGAACTCGAGTCAGACCTGAGTCACAAATTTAGACGACGACTTTAGACTCGACTTAACAAAATCAAAAAAGACTTGAAACTCAACTTAGACTTTAACACCAATGACTGGTGACTTTACTTGAACCTGAACCTTTGGACTTGAAAATACTTTATACCTTAACGATGAGCCCAATGATATGTTATTTAAAAGTGTGCCACAAATTGATTTATTTTCATTCATTTCCTGAATCAACATTAACACCATTAATCTTTAGCAAGTCAAACTGTAATTCCCCAGACCAACTTTGTTCGAACTAATCTGACAGCATCTGGTCAAGTTGCAGGAGAGAACCATGAACAACTGGTGTTACATTACTTAGCACAAGTTAGAAAATATGATACCAAAGGTAAGTTTATTAACCTACAAAAACTATGCAATGGTAAACAAAAAACAAACTGCAAAACTTGAGTTACAGTCAGAGACTTCTTTTCAAAAAGAAATTTTAAAAAGCATTCATGTGTTTGTAAATTCAAATATTATTACTGTGATGTTAAAATGGCACTACATTTTGTGAAGCGTGCATTAGGCTACGACTTGTTTAGGACTTGACACTAAAAGTTTAGGACTCGGGACTTGAGTGCCAATGACTTGGTCCCCCATCTGCGTATTCTTATAAGTTGGGACTAGATAAGTCATTATCCATCCCAAGAGGTAAATTCACAAGCTACATGGAAGATAAAGTAGTTAAAATTAGCTCCACTTTTACCAGCTGCAAGAATAAAGTGATGAACACTGTATATGCATATTAGGTACTTACTTTTGATGTTATGGGTTTATTTTGATGCAAATACTTTAGTACTTTTACACAAGTAAAAATCTGAATGCATTATTTTTGCTTAGCACGTCACATAGCAGAGTATTTTGACACTGTAGTATTACTACTTTTACTCAAGTAAAAGGTTTGAGTACTTCTTCCACCACTGATTTCCCATCATGCCACGTCCACTTAAGTCATTTTGATTTATAAAACCCAAAATCACATCATAATTCAAAAAATGTAAGAGAAAAGCATGTCATTATTAGTTTCAAGCCATGTTTACTTTATATCTTTGTGTTAAGTTACCTAAAATGTAATTGTATTTCCTTAATTTCATAGTTTATAACATAAAATGTAAACTCCCTGATGGTTAAGTTCTCTAAAATAATGTTTTGCAGTGAGTACGACTTGTTGCATATCAAGCATTGCAGTACTATTTCCCTTCTCTCAATTTCAATTCACATTCTTATCTAACAAACAAGTTTTAATGCATAAATAAGATGCTACAGGTACATTCCTCCACCCTAACCATCTGCACATGAAGACGTGCTTACTTGTGTATTAATAAACAAGATAAACATGGGAGATGTCTTGACAGTTGTGTGCACAAATATTCGTGGTTCACCTCTTCCTCTCACACTTGCACACAATCAACTGCTCAGACTTCCAAAAAATGTGAAAATGTTTGTGCTCTTTTTTTCTCCTGGCTCTTTTTTCCTCCTCCTTTCGCCGTTCTTGGCTGTCAAGCTATATTAGTGTCCGATAGAAATAAGTCATTTAGAAGAGGCTCTGTCGGCCAGCCCCTCAGCCCCACTAAAAGCTCCAGGATTAGGTCCCAGAGGCCTTTGTCTCCGCAGCCCGCAGGATTAGGGGAGATTTACTGCGAGGAGAGAAAAAAAGTAGTTATTTCATGGCACTTTCATGATGAAACCTGGCCAAAGCTGTGTTGGCTGGGGGGATTAGAGGCACACAAAGAGTGTGGTTGTGTGTGACCCTCCCCATCCCAGAGCCGCCACCACTGACTCACTCACCGCCCCCTCCTCCTTCCTGGATCATTTCCCCTTCTGCGGGCCAAGCAGGGCTTCACCTCCTACCCATCAAGACGACCAGGGTTCAGTCTAAATGAGTAATGGCCTCTTCAATTAGCCCTGTCAGCCCAAAGCTTGTTGACTGACTACATCGACCAGTGAGCGTTGAACAACACAAACATCATATTCCATTAAGTTAATCAGGAGTTCTGTGAATTCAAAGCAAGAGGCAGGCCTTGGTGCAGCAGGTCTAATCACCAGGATGTGAGTGTTTTGCATTAAAGACTTAGGTGCAGAGGTAAATGAGAAGTTACTGGATTTGAGTCCCTCCTGTAGTGTTTAAAACCGCTTAAAGGGAGTTATCCTGCTCTTAGAGGATCCACTTACACATGCAAGGATTACAGTGAATAAAACACAAAAGGCTAAGTCACATCGCTGACAACAGTCTCACCGCTGAGCAGGTGGAAACTCGCGCAGGTTTATTAACTGTTGTCACATCACATGAGGGAATTACTGTGAGAAAATGACAATGTGAATGGCGACTGTCAAAACATTCAGTCTTTATCCTGCCTGTTGGCAGATAACATGAAGTTATTAAAGTTCAGCTAATAAAAGACCTATCACATATTTTCCTGTAGTGTTGCAAACATGGGCTGAATTTACTGCAAAACATTTGATACCAGCCGATAACTTCATCAATATGATTAATAAATCATTTAGTAACCCAGTTATAAGCCACTTATTTCTACAGAGGGGCTGCTAGCAATATATTAACACTGCAGGTTTGATGATTAACCCTCTTCGTTAATGACTTATTAACATTTTCTATGTGTGTCCAAATGACTCAGAGCTCAAGAAACCTACGAGCATTCATTAACAGATTTATTTATTACTACATACTACACATTTACTTACTGCATTGCTACATAGGAAAGATGAACACTATACTATATGTAGCCTGCCACACAGCATTGATTGATCAAGCAAGATGACTTTGCATTTGCTCCTTTGACCTCACGATGGCAGGACTATCATACAGTTGGTAGACAGGCACCAAGTAGGAAGTACGCAAGCAGAACTGATGTGTTGTCATAAACAGATGGTAAACAAGCAAACGCTTACATAACAGCAGACATTTTCTGCCAGGTAGCTGACATGGCCACTGCAAGGAGGCATAAAGTCGTCAGTGAGGACAAACGCTTTCAGGAGCAGTGGAAGGTTGAATAACTTTTCACTAAAAGACAAAACAGTTGTGTTTGTCTCATTCGTATGAGATAATGTTTTTAATACCATATATGATGCAAGACGCAGGGGGTCCCCGGGTATTTTCACATCATTTAATCTGTCCCCCATTTAAAAAAAGTTATGTAGGAGAACTACGGTGGCTGACACAAAAACAGGAATGGTCCAATCTAGAGCCAGTGTTTGATTTGTCCATTCTGGGCTACTGTAGAACAACATGGCGGACTCTGTAGAAGAGGACCCGCTCCATATATAGATCAAAACGGCTCATTCTAAAGTAATGAAAACACAATAATTCCTATTTTCAGGTAATAATACACTACTGAAAACATAGTTATGAATATTAGGCTATACTCCATTTCTGCCAATATCCTACACACTGGACCTTTAAACACTTTCAAAAACTGTACCAGAGTATCAGAAGATGGCACCAAAAGCTGTAATATAAATTATTTTTTAAGATTCAGAAACTATCCATCCATCCATCTATTTTCGTAACCGCTTATCCTCTTGAGGGTCACGGGGGGGCTGGAGCCTATCCCAGCTGTCATTGGGCGAGAGACAGGGTACACCCAGGACAGGTCGCCAGACTATCACAGGGCTGACACATAGAGATAGACAACCATTCACACCTACGGGCAGTTTAGAGTCACTGATTAACCTATATTCAGAAACTAAACAAAAAAGATAAAATTATCTGATAACTTGATACTAAAAAAAAAAAGAAATACACTGACTCACAAATCTGATATTAATTCCAAATAAGGTTT